TTGAAGAAAAAGATCTTGGTATTGTGATTGAAAATTCACTTATGTCATCTAAGCCTTGTAATGTACCAAGTAATAGGGCTAATAGGATTTTGGGTAGCATCTATAGAAATATTAAACACACGACAAGGGATATTATTGTTTCACTGTATAGATCACTTGTAAGACCTCATTTAGAGTACTGTGTACAGTTTTTGGCTCCCTTCCTCAAGAAGGACATTGAATTGTTGGAGAAGGTTCAGAGAAGAGCCACTAGGATGATACCTGGAATGGGGGATTGTCCTATGAGGAGAGACAAAAATCTCTAAACTTGTTTTCTCTGGAGAGGAGAAGGGTCGGAGGGATTTGATTGAAGTGTTTAAGATTATTAAAGGTATTGATAATATAGATCCATCAAACCTTTTTGCATATAGCAGTGAAAACAATAGGACAAGGGGCATAAATTTCAAATGCATCCTGCTGTTTTGTTATCAATTGCAAGGTTGAACTTGGAATGTCTTTTAAGAGGTTACAGCAGGATATACAGACAAAGTGGAACAGTACTTATTATATGTTGCAAAGTCTTTCAATCAACCATGCATCAACGGGGGTTGATTGAAAGAGCAGTTCTAGTACAATTTGAAGAACTAAAAAATAAATGAAGTTCCTTCTTGGCCTCTGCTTCTGATGTTAACCCATTTATGGTTGGTTTAAAACTATGAAAGGCACTTTGCTGGAGGTCATGGAAATGGCGTTTAGAGAAATTGAGTCAGAACCCTTCCACTGCATTTCAATCCTTCTGAATCCAAGATACAAGGAAAGGTACTTTATCAACACTGACAAAAAAAACTGCTTGCTATGTAAATGTTATTGAAACATCTAGAACAAATGGAAGCAAAATGCAATGACATAGAACACACATCAACTGAAGAACATTCATAAAGAAATCAAAGCAAGCAAATGATGGTACTTCTACAAAACTCAGCAGAAACCTGTGTTCAGTGTGTGAGAAAATATTGGAGGCAAGTGCCAGTATGGTAGAAATTGAAGGAATGAACAACAGTGCTGTGCTTCAGAAATAGAGTTTATCTGAGTGAGCCAGTTCTTACAAGAGGTACTCATAAACTGCAATACTGGTAGAACAGAACAAAGGTTGTTTTCCCAATTTAACTGAAGCTGCAAGGAAGTTTCTTTCTGTGCCCTGCAAGAATGGTGATTGCATACAGTTGTTCAATGCTGCCTCACATGTTGTGGATGAAAAGTGGAACAGGCTGATGAGTGGTAAAGCAGAAATATTGCTTTTTGTGACGAAAGAGTCTTCTACTCCTTCACTTTACACTAAATACAGCTAAGAAGCTGTATAATTCTGATGGATTTTTTTATTATTAATTGAATGAGAAATTATTTAAACTCATTATTTTTAGTTTTTATTACTACTACTAAAAAATGTACCACATCAGTTTTTTTTGTATTTTTTCTGTCTTGATCTTTATTGCTTGAGAGTGTTTGTGTTGTGTTTTGATGTTGAAAGCTGTCTTTCATTCTCTGATGTGGCAGAGTTGTTAGGCTTAATTTTATAAAATAAATCAAATAGTTTATGCTGACATTTTTAAGGTGAACTTAATAATTATGTTTACATGTATGAAGTTTCTATTATAAACTAATAAAAGTTACAGTTATATTTCATAAGTTAATATATATGTATGCATGTTTTTATTTTGCAAGTGTTTCTAGAAGCAGTAATGCAAAGTAGTTTTTAAAACTTGTTATTCTTTTTTGGTTTAATTTCTGAACTAAATGCACAAAGTAATGATATTTGTGAATTTATGTTATTGACACAGCCAGAAAGAAAATCATCTATAGTTTAAAATTTAAGGTGTTTCAGTAGTTTAAGCTACCTTAGCTGCACTAATACTAAATATTGGCATTGGTGTATTAGTCAGTAGGGTTGGGTAATCATGGGCCATTGGTATTGGAAGAATCCTTTTGATTTTGAGGTTTGAAAGACATGGTTACCATTTAATAAAGAAGTGTGTTTTCTCTGTAGAAAAAAACATTACTACAAAATACAAACACAACATATTCATCAACAACCCCCCTCCAAAAAAAAAAGGCTAATGGTCAGGAGGAATCATCCATTCTAGTGATTGCTATTTTTCGTAATGTAAAAATTCATAAGTGCTTGATGTGTATGTAAATTGTAAAGTTGAAATATAGTATGACTTTTTTAAAGGTAAGCTTCACACTCGAAATGTACCATTGAAAAAGGATCTGAAAATGTAAGATTAGTGATTCTGCAGATGTTTTACTGTGAAACTGTTATGATATTCTAAAAACGAAAAAACTTTTATAATAATAAAAGCAGTTTACTTACTGTTCCTCTAACATTAATCTCAGGCCTCAGCTTATGAATGAGCAAGATCTCTTTTATTTTAAGGTTCTGTTCATCATTGGCCATTGCTAACATCTTAAACTAATCAGAATGGACAACAATGTCACATTCTCCTAGGGTTTGTTTGACCAGTTAAATAACTTCTCATTATCTTGTTGCCAACATGAACTAGTTTTTAGGCCATTTGTTTGTTTATTTGTAGAATATTTAATGATTGTTTAAACCCTGTGATTTGTGATATATCTGCTTTCTGGCATTGTGGTGGAAGGCATGCCGGTTGGATGAATAGCAGATTAAATAAGTACTGGCAGACTTTCACCCATTGACTAGTGTAAATGTTAATGTACTTACCAGATTGAGGATACTAGAACACACCATAGGCTTAGTTTGATGTCTATTCAGTTTATTAAGATCTTGACAAAAACTAATAATGAATGCAATTCCTACAAAAAAACCTGCTTATCAACAACCTAAGGCAGCGGTTCCCGACCTTTTCACTGCCAAGGACCCCCTATTTTTTTTTCCCATGGACCCCATGTTTTTTGAAACATTCCATCTGCCCAACAAACTG